CGACGGCCCAAGTGGGACCGCCCGCGTGCGTCTCCCTCACCCAGTGCATCGTTTCGTGGCCTTATAGGGAGCCCCACCGAAGGTTTCAGTGGGGCCGCCCGCATGCGTCACGCACCACCCAGTACATCGTTTCGTGGTCCCATAGGGACGCCCACTGAAGGTCCCATTGCCGAAGTCAGCATGCGTCGCTCGCACCGGGTATAGCGCTTCGTGGTCCCGTATGGGGGCTCCCGTATGGGCCGCCCGCGTGCGCCCCGCACACCCAGCACAGTGTTCGTGGCCCCATCGGGAACCCCACCGAAGGTCCCAGAGGGACCGCCCGCATGCGTCCTGCACACCCAGTGCAGCGCCCCGCGGCCCCATACGAAGGCCCACCTCGTGGCCCCATAGAGAGCTCAACCGAAGACCCCAGCGGCACCGCCCGCGTGCGTCTGCCCCACCCAATGCAAGGTTCGTCGCCCATAGGGAGCTCCACCGAAGGTCCCAGTGGCAAGGTCCGCATGCGTTTCCCCCACCCAGCACAACGTTTCGTGGCCTACAGGGAACTCCACCGATGGCCCCAGTGGCAAAATCCGCATGCGTCTCCCCCACACAGCACGACGATTCGTGGCCCATAGGGACCTCCACCGAAGGCCCCAGTGGCAAAGTCCGCATGCGTCTCCCCCACCTAGCACAACGTTTCGTTGCCCATGGGGAGCTCCACCGAAGGCCCCAGTGGCAAAGTCCGCATACGGCTCTCCCACCCAGTGCAGTGTTTCGTGGCCCATAGGGAGCTCCACCGAAGGTTCCAGTGGCAAACTCCGCATGCGTCCCCCGCCCAATGCAGCGTTTCGTGGCCCGTAGGGCGCCCCACCGAATGCCCCAGAAGCGGACTTCGCATGCGTATCCCCCGCCCAGTGCCATGCTTCGTGGCCCCATAGGGAGCCCCACCGGATACGATGTACATTGTGGTATTCACAACTACATGTGATTGGGTCTTTCGCCGGGGTTTTTATGGCTGGTGTTTCTGCGGTGGGTGGCGAGTCGCTACCCGCCTGTGCTGCGGCTTGGTGGTTGTCCTCGCAGCGCCTGGTCATGCGTTTCTGTGTTGCGTTGTGCCTGGGTGCGCCGCAAGGAGGAATGGCAGCAGTGGTCCGAGGATGCTTTCAAAAATGGTGGGCGCGATGCGCACCGTTTCACCCGACTTCGTGCCCTGCAGCAAGTGTTGCAGGCCTCGGACCATTCTACGCCAGCGCAGCTGGCGGACCACGAGCTAGAGAAGTGGCAGCAGATTTGGAGTCTCCATGGCGCTGGCGAGCTTCCTCGTCCTGCTGATGCAGATGGGTGGGGGCACCTGCCAGAGCTCACGGGGGCCCAGATTCGGGCCACCATCATGTCTTTTGCCCGTCGCACAGGACGTGGGCAGATGCGTATTCTTCCTCGGCATTTTTGGTTTGTATGCGATGAAGGGCTACAAGCCATGGCCGAGATGTTCATGGCCTGCGAGAAGCGGCTGATCTGGCCGCAGGACCTTTTGTTCAGTGAGTTGTGTATGCTTCCGAAGCCGAGCGGAGGCACGCGACTCATTGCTCTCCTCAACACAATGTTGAGGATATGGGGCCGTGCTCGTCGACATCTAAGCACGGCCTGGGAAAAAGCTCACAGACACCCTGCATTCTGGGGGACGGGAGCTGGACGTTCTTCATCGGACTGTGCGTTCCACTTAAACTTACAGGCCGAATCGGCACACGCACGCAAGTTGCATGTCGTTACAGTATTCCTGGACATGTTCAAGTGCTATGAGACCATATTATGGAGCATGATACTTCGAGAAGCTAGAGCACTAGATTTCCCTCTTAGATTGATCTGGATGGTGCTACAAACTTATCGTGTTCCACGGACCATACGTGCATATGGTAATATTAGCTCGATGTATGTGGCCCGTCAGGGCATTCTGGCTGGCTGTACACATGCTACCACTATACTTATGGTTGTTCTGCATCGGGTGGTCTCTCACCAGTGCAATAGATATCCAGATATCACAGCACGCGTGCTTATGGACGACTTTACCATGCAGTGGCAAGGCCCTGACCCCAGAGGAGCAGATATACGGCACACGTGCGTGCGCAACTTCGGTGGTGACGTGAGAGAGTTAGGCCTCATCCTCCAGAACTCTAAGTCGGGGTTCGTTGCTACCACGGTTCGTGCTCGACATCGGTTTTCGTCGGGGGTCAAGTGCATGAAACTCAAGCCCAAGCATCACATGCGCAACTTAGGTCACGAGCTGCACGGGGTCAAAGCACGTTGTATCCAAGAGCAAGCACGCACGGCTAAGCTTAAGGAGAGGGTCGGAAAGATACGCACGTTGGAGCGAGCTGTGCACGAGCGGCTTGGGGTGTTGTGGCGCACTGGGTTGTTACCTGCAGTGGGGCACGGCACGGGTGTGAGTGGTGCGTCGGACACTGTGCTCAAGCAGTTGCGCACTTTCGCGGGCGGTATGATTGGAGCTGCCCGTAATGCATCACTCACGCTCTACCTTGCTACTCAAAGGGATGACAGGTTCGACCCTGTTTTTGATTGTACTATTCTTGTTGTCAAAAGATACCATAGCTTTATATGGGACAGCAGAGTATCCCTAGCTGAGCTGCATCACACATGGCAGTATGTATCCGACAAGTTCCAAGATGCCAAGCCGACTTGGGCCATGGCACGAGGACCGTTGTCGACAGTTTGGCTTACATTGATTCGTATCGGATGGCAGTTCAGCGGACCCGCTCTTTTTACGGACGACCTTGGACAACAATATTCGCTACTGTATGTTGCTCCCAGAGATCTGGAGAAGCGTCTGGTGGAATCTATTCATCGGCTCCAGGTGGGGCGTATCCTTCACCATCTACCAGAGCGGATCGGCGACGAGAAGATTTGGCGACGGGCCATGAGACTGGCGTTGTTTTCTGTCAGAGCTGGACCAATGAGGGGAGCACTCAGGAAGCTGTGGGCTGGAGGTCTTTTGTGTCCCGACAGGTCAGTGGACCTTGGGGTCGGGGCGTCTCGTGAATGCCCATATTGCGGTGCTCCCAAAGGTACTCTCTCGCATCAGTGGAACGTTGGCCCTGCTACATTGCAGCTCTCAGATGCCTGCCCCGAGGTCATTCCCGAGGACGTAGTTGAGTTCTGCGAAGTCAGGTTGAAACTTGTGGAGGAGAACATGAATGACCCCGATACTTTTGACCTGACATATGGACTTCCGACGGAGCCTTTGCAACCCCGTCTTCCAGATGAGACCCCGGAGATACTGTCATGGGGTGATGCTGATGGTCTCTGGTCTTCTATTACTTATTGCGACGCTTCGGGAATGCACATCAGTCATCCTACCCTGGGCCGCGTCGGATGGGCCATTGTTCAGATATGTCCGTCGACGGGGATCCCAGTTCGAGCTCAGTATGGGGGCCTCCCTGGCCGCGACCAAACGGTGCCTCGGGGAGAACGCTACGCGGGATACCGAGCGTTGATGATGATGGAACGGCCAGGTTTAATTGTCAGTGATCACCTGTCGTTCGTACGTGAAGCTAACAAATGGAGCCCAGAACTCGAAGCTAGCGGCTCGCTGCACGCCGAGGTCTGGCGCCAGATCTTCCATCTCTGCCGTCATGGCCAGCAGCGCCCTGAATTTGTCTGGGTGCCTCCCCACAGAGATGTTCAGAATTTCATCGAGGCAGGTGGATCACTCGCCCGTGCCCATGGGAATGCATGGGCCGACTTCTTTGCATATGCTGGAGCTATGGGCGTGAAGGTCGCGGACACGCTGGCAGAACATCATAAGCAGATGATCGTCCAGTCCAAGAAGATCGCCCAGTTCACGGCGTACATGGCATCCCGCACGGTCAGGATGTTCAAGGAGGTTGGGGAGCCCCTGGTTAAGAAGAGCAAGTTAGATCAGGCCCCCAAGCTCTCCCTCACCGAACATGAGTTTGTTCAGGACGGTGCCCAAGTGAGATGTTCTAAGTGCCTCAGGATCGCCACTACCCCTGTGAGCTACAGGAACCTTTTTAACTCGCAATGTCTTGGGGCCCCAAAAATCGGAAGAGGACATAAACTCATTCGTTGGGGCCCCGCTGGAATCTGTGAACTCTGTGGGCGCTATAGTTTGCAGGTTGACAAGTATATTAAAAATCTCCGTGAGGATTGTCTTGGGCCGCCAGTCAATAAAGCCACTCGTGCTAGCGTTCGCTCCCAGGTTAAAGCCCTGTCAGCAGGACGTGTGCCCAGGACGCGGCGGCCCGTCCTCCTCGAGGCTGATGCTGCAGCGGGTCCAGGCAGCCAAGAGGCCGCCCCATCCAGCTCAGCTGCGCCCTCTCGCGTCGCTGCCGCCCTCCGACCGGAGGAGACGGCGGCTGTGGGGAGGGGCGGGGTGGAGGACGGGGGTGGGACTGACTCGGGATCATCCGATTAGTCGAATCCTTCTGCTGCTGGACCTTCCAGCCTAGCCTGGGGCCTCCCCCCGCCCGTGGGTCTTTGCCCCAGGCTGCCGCCTGCCGCCCCCTGTCGTCTGGACTGGGCCTTGTGGTGGCCTAGGCTTCACTGTTTGACAGCCTGTTTGGCTGATCTCGGATCGACCTATGGGTTGATCTCCGCGTGGGGCCTCGAGGTTCTTGAGGCCCCTCTCTTTTCAATTCGGCCCTCTTCCGTTCCTTTGGGTTCGGTTGGGGCTCCCGACTTGGACACACGAGACGATCGTTGTTTCTGTGGGTCGCCTCGAATGTCAGAGCTCTCTCAGGCGCCCCGTGTGCCGTCGATGGGTGCTTGGCCGTAGGGGCCCTCTCAGCATTGGCAGACGGGGGTGGATGTCCCATCGGCGCGTTCGTGGTGTCGGCCCAAAGGCGTAGTTTCTGCTTTTGGGCCGTGGGGCCCCGTCAGGAGCTGCGCTGATGTGTGTAACCGCGGGCTAAGTCAGGTGGATTACAGTCGCTCACGTTTTGCCGTCATGTGCTGGGTGGGTCTTCTCTGTCGCGCTCGTGGAGATGGCTATTCTCTGTGGGCATGGGGGGCCCGCGTCAAACATGTGCTGGGACTTCCAGGCGTGGGTCGTGGAGGTGCTGTGTCTGTCGGGCATGGGGTGCCCAGAGTCTTCAGGCACGGGGTGGGCCTTCGATGGCCTGCTCGCCGCGGTGGTCTGCCGATGGCGGACTTGGCACGCTCGGTGCTGGTGTCCTGTGCTGGGTCTCCTTGCAGATGCTCGTGGAGGTGTTCCTCTCGTCGCGGGCATGGGGGGCCCTATTTCATTCAAACATGTGCTGGGTCTTCCGCAGCGTGCTCGTTGAGGTTCTTCCTCCGGGCATGGGGGGCCCGGTTCTTCAAACATGTGCTTGGTCTTCGGCCTGGTGCCCGCGGAGGCGGTCCGCTCCTAGGCATGGGAAGCCCAGCTGCTCAAACATGGAGGCGCTTTTCGTGGGCGAGTCGCTGGGCTGAGCTGCGCCCGCCGCCGCTGCGGAGCGGGTGTTGAACTTGAGCTGGTGGCGTCCGAGTTCCTCCGCGATCGACCGCCGATGATTGAAATCTGGAAATCAGGAGGAGGAGGAGGAGGAGGAGAAGGAGGAGGAGGAAGAGGAGGATGAGGACGAAGAGGAGGTGGGGCGTCGAGGACGACGAGGAGGACGACGACGACCCCCGACAGTTCCCAGAGGGTTCAGGGTGTCTTCCGAGTTTTGGCGCTGGATCCCACGGAACGGCCAGCCGCGTCCAAACCCGCGCGAAAAAATCGAAACTCGACGACGATGACGCCGGCCGCGGTTGTAGCGGCGGCGGTGACCGCCAGAAACCGAACGCTGGACGAGCGCTGGCGGGGGCCCGTTGCCGTGGGCAGCCGCGGCCACGAAAGTGACCCCGCGAGGCCCAAAAAGCTCCAGCATAATTTGCAAACCTCGCTCCTCGACCCTGGATCCCTCGTTCTCCCCCCTCGCTCATTGACGACTGCGATGACGTTGGCGGCGACAACGACGACCCCGACCCCAACCACGACGACCACAGCGACGATGACAGTGACGACGTGGAGCTCCGGCAGCTTCCAGACTTCTGACGATGACCACACGACGACGATCCATCGACGACCGCCGACGGCTTCCCCAGATCTCCAGAGTCCGGGGGCCTCCGGAGGGGGCCTCCGGAGGCCCAAGAACAACGCAGCGCGCCACAGAACGCGCATCACGTCCACAGACGACGACTACCACCACGACCATTACGACGATCACCGCGACGATCATCATGATGGCGGCGGTGGCGGGTGCGGCGGCGGGTGCGGCCGCGGGGGCGGCGGCGGCGACGGCGGCGGCGGCGGCCTGGCGGCCCTGAGCCTCTGGGGTCCTCTTCTGTTGCAGTCACGTCTCTCTCTTGCACAGTCGGAGACATTCGGAGCCTCCCGACGCGTTGCGCGTCGATCTCGCAAGGTTCCGCGACCGCCCACCGAATGCGAAGGTATCCCCAGAAGGCCCGGCACTTCCACGCGCCAAGGGCGGCCCTTGCCGGGGGAACCTCCCTTTTGGTATCCAGGGATTCGCGGATTAGCGCTAGCTCCACGGACAACGATTGCGCAGGCGGCTAAAACCCACGCGCACGCGAAACGAGGCGCGCGTATTTGTAGTATGTATGTGTGTATGTATGTGTTTGTGTCAGTGTCTTTGTCTATGTCTGTGTCAGTGTTTGTGTCTGTGTCTACGTCTGTGTCTGTGTTTGTGCCATGGTCAGTGTCAGTGTCTGTGTTTGTGCCATGGTCAGTGTCAATCCCAGTGTCAGTGTCAGTGTCTGTGTCTGTGTCTGTGTCTGTGTGTATGTGTATGTGTATGTGTATGTGTATGTGTATGTGTATACATATAACGGCGCACCGGGTCCGGGGGCCCGGGGCCGGGACCTCGACCACAAATGTGGGCCCCGGGGGGCCCGGAGGCTCGTCGGACCGCCGGACGCCGTCCAAGATCGTTCGCAGGCGGCTTCGGAACGCGCTCCGATGGCTCCAGATGCCTTCCAAGACGCCTGTCATGACACCAAGAAGGTCCCAGAAGCCTCCAAGACGCTCCGAGAGGCAGCCCAAGAGAGGCCCAAGAAGCAAAAATCGTGCCATTCCTATGGGAAAACGTATATTTTTCGCATGTTCGCCTCTTGGGCTTTCACCGCGTCCAAGACGGCCCAAGAGGCGCCCAAGACGGTCTACGAGGCCTCCGGGAGCGCTCCAAGGCTGCGCACGAGTGGCCCAGGACGGCCCCAAGACGGCCGAAGAGAGCCCCAAGACGAGTTCGAGAGGGGTCCCAGACGGAGAAAGCCAACCTCGAATTCCGAGCTTCCGGCCCAAGAGGCTCCAGGAGGCGCCAAAATGCCGCCAAGAGGCGCCAAAAGGCTCCCAAAAGCACCCCAAGACGTTCCGAGAGGCACCCCAAGAGAGGTCCAAGAAACAAAAATCGTGCCATTCCTATGGGAAAACGTATATTTTTCGCATGTTCGCATCTTGGGCTTTCACCGCGTCCAAGACGG